TTGCCGCGCATGGCCCCGGCGCTTCTGGTGCTTCGCGGCCGCGGCGCGCGGGCCCGCTGGTTTTCGTGTACGACGTGCCGGCGCGCTTTGTGGGGCGGCAGCTGCAGTACCGGACGAGCAAGGAGAAGTGCACGTGGCGGCTGTTCGGCGCAGCGGGCAACGGCACGACCTTCACGGGTGCGCGCCGGCCCCCACTCCCGGCCGCCGTCCGCCGCAGGGCCCCTGCGCAACCCCCCCCCCCTTGCAGCACCCAATCTCGCAGGCGCCGCGCTGAGCTTTGCGGCCCTCCCGCTTAACCTGTCTGCCACGGCCGGCTCTCTGCCGCTCCCCTGCCGTGGCAGTTGGACAGCTGCAGACTCGACCGAGCGCCTGGACGCCTGCCCGCCTGCCGACCTGCCCCTTCTCAAACTCCCTGAACCCTGAACCCTGAATACGATGCAGGTGCCGCGTGGCCCTATGCCGTGGAGCAGTACTTCCATGAGGCCCTGCTGCAGAGCCCCCACAGGACGCTTGACCCCGAGGAAGCAGGTGGGGCTGCGGGCCGACGCCTGCGGCGCCGGCTGCGGGCGGCGGGTGCGCTCGGGGGCCGGGGCGGCGGCGCACTGGCTGGCGGAATCTTGGGCGGCCCGTTCGAATTTTGCTCGGCCAAAGCGGGCTGGTGCCCTCTTCACGTGTGATCCAGCTCACGACCCGGGCATGGCTTGGTGCTTGCCCCGCTACAGTGAAGAGCGTCCAAAACTGCCGTGGGCGCTGAGCCCCACGCCCTCCTCCCCAAACCTGGCCCCCGCTCAGACCTCTTTTACGTGCCGGTCTACGCGTCGTGCCTGATGGAGGCGGTGCTGGGCTACGCGGACGCCCCCTGGTTCTACAGGCACAGGCGCGCGCGTCTGCCAACAAACACGCCGCACACAGCGCGCCCGCTGGCCGGTCGTGCTTGAAACCCATCCCGTGGCGCCGCCCAGGCGGTCCCTTCCGCGGCCTCCTGCTGCTCCCCTCTGGGCCCCTCGTCCCCATCCCCACCTCGCCGCCAGCGGTCGCACGCACGCGCGTGTGTGCGTGTGTGCGCGCGCGTGCGTTCGTGCGCGCGTGTCAGCTGCCCAAGCCGATCGACCTTCAACCTCACTGCATCAACCAAAAGCCCATCGGCTGGGTGTTGGGTGGACTTTCTCAGTGCCTAGCCGACAACAACAACCCCTGCCTCCATGACCCCTGCTCCGCGCCCCTCTCCCCCACACCCTCAACCCCCGCACAGCCCCTCCAAGGTGCAGCATGGCGCTGTGATGTACCAGGAGGCGCTAGACTGGCTGAGGACGGCCTACCCCTTCTGGAACCGCACCCAGGGGCGGGACCACGTCTGGTGAGCGATCCTCCTCCCGCCGCACCTGTCCCTCACCCTGCCGCTCCCATCGCGAGCCTTGCCACGAACCACCCTTTATGCCCCTCCCCACCGCGCCCTTCCCGACTCAAGACCGCTCCTCCTGCACTTTCCTGCATTGCGCACTTGTGCCTTTCTAGTCTGATAGTGGCTGGCCGCTTGAGGGCTGTCGCGGGCCGCCGCTCGCCTGCAAAATAGGCAGCGCTTCCGGCTGCTTTCGCGCGGCATCGGCATTGCCGCCGGCCAGCAAACCACGCGCGCCCGCCTGCCGACCACGCGGCCGCGCCCTCTCCCCCCACGCCCAGGCTCTTCACCCACGACGAGGGCGCCTGCTGGGCCCCCACTGAGGTCTACCGCAACAGCATCGTCCTCACGCACTACGGCGTCGCCCAACGCGCCGCCACCGACGGCGGCGCGGCGGCGGCGCAGCTGCCGCTGCCGCCGCCGTCATCCACGACGCGGCGCGAGTTCAATTACAGCGTCGACGTGCTGGGCGACGAGAGGCTGCCCGGCGGGTGGCGGCGGCTGATCGAGGGGCACGGGTGCTATGACGCGTCGAAGGACCTCGTCATTCCCGCGTTCAGGTGCGTGTGGAGATGGTATGGGTCATGACAGCCGGTTGTGCACGCTTCAGAGTGTGGGTGAAGCGCACGTGCGCGCTCATTGTTTGTGAGTGTCTGTGTCTGTGTCTGTCTTTGTTCATGCACTCATGTGCAACTTTTTGGCCCTGTGCATGGTGGGTGTGTGTGTTTGTGTGTGTGTGTGTGCTGCTCAACACTCTAGCCTCGCAAATCGCTGCTGCGTTGGCCTGCGTGGGCCTGCCACACCACCAAGCTGCCCCTCGCACTGCACCGAGTCACTGCACTCCACGTTGCGACCCGCTCACCCCCGTGCATGTGTGCATGCGCGTGGCGCGCCGCCGCAGGCCCCCGGCACAGTACCATGCGGCCATGGCGCTAGGCGGCATGCACCGCAAGCGCGACATCCTGCTCCTGCTGCGGGGCGACATGGGCGACAGCCGGCCAAAGGCCTTCAGCGGGGGCCTGCGGCAGGAGGTGCGCCCTGCCTGCAGGGGGATTGGGGATTGCAAAGGACAGCGGGGAGCACGAGAGCAGGGGTTGTCGCAAACGGCGGTTTGTTGTCTGGACGGGGCCCCTCAGCATGCCATGCTTGCCGTGACCGATGGGGCGCAGCAAACGGTCAAGCGGTGTTTTGATGTGCGGCGCCTGCTGGGCGGTGCCGGTCGGCCTCCTCTCCTGTTGCAGGTCCACTCGCTGGCGCGCGACAAGCAGTGGGCCAGCAAGTATTCCATCCGCGTCGGCAACACGAGAGAGATCGAGGTGCGCGTCGCGCCGCTGCAGCGCGGCACGACCTGCCCAGAAACGTGCCCTTGGCTCGCGAAGCTAGCGGGCCACTGCGGCATGTGGCGCAGCGGCGCGTGTGCAGGCGGCCTTCTCCCTGAGCCCTGCCATGTTTGCGTTGTCGGGCGGTCCCTGCATGCACCCCCGCGCGGGGTTGCTCAGCCTCATCTTCTACTGCCTGGCGCTCGTCCCTCCTCCATCCCCTGGCCCCCAAACCTCACCGCCGCTCCTGCCCTAATCAAAGCATCACCCCATGTTCCCAACCGTTGCCCTACCCCAGACGAACGCCTGCCCCAACCACAACGCCGCCCCCCCCCCCTCACCCCCTCTACCCGCTCCCAAATTAACAGGGCGACTACTCCCTGCTGCTGGCGCGCTCCACCTACTGCCTCGTCCTGCCGGAGGACGGCTGGGTGGCGCTGTTCGAGGACGCCGTGCTGCACGGCTGCATCCCGGTGTACGTCAGCGGGGGCCCCAGGGACCTGCACGCCCCGTTTGCAAGCATACTCAAGTGGTGAGGAGCGGCGCAGGTCGCCACGCGGCGGCCGATGGGGTCGAGGACCCTTCCCAGCCGGGGCAGGGCGCGGCAGCACACGCGCGCCTGCTGCAGCAGGCTCGCCTGCCAGTTCCCGCAGCCGTCACGTGGTATCGCCTGTGACGCAGCCCCCGCCCTTCCTGACCGGAGACCCCTGCCCCCCGCCCTGCCCCTTCCGCCCCCACCCCCAGGGGCGGCATCAGCCTGTCGGTGCAGCGCGGCGAGCTGGCGCGCCTGCCGCAGATCTTGACCAATGTTGACCCGGGCCAGCTCCTCAACATGCAGCGCCGCGCCGCGCGCGTGTGGCACCGCCTCGCGTGGCTGGACCACCCCTCGGTGATCTCGCAGGCGTCCGAGGTTATGCGGCGCAACTTCGAGAAGTACCCGTGGATCGCCGACGAGCAGGGGAAGATGGAGGGTTGGGTGCTGGAGGGCAAGGCGACGGACACGATTTTCAAGAACGGCGTGCGGCTGATGCGGCGGTCAGATGTGGGTGACGACGCGTTCAACACAGTCATGCAGTGGCTGCACCACAAGTCGCGGGAGCTCAAGGGACACGTCAGCAGCGGCGGCGAGTCGCAGGGCGGCGGCGGCCTGCTTCCGGCGGCGCCGGGGGCGGCGGGGGCCGGCGATGCGCAGGCG